CCAATAAGATCTTTGTACTTTTATTCTGCACCATAAAATTAATTCATCACTCTTAAAAACAAAAAATTCTAAACCTTGGTCTAGGGACTTTATTGTCTATTTAGATTTTTTTTAAATAGTAAAATTAATAATTTAACACTAGGTGCTAAAAAACAACATTCATGGACTTTTTAGTCCTTTTCTTAATCTAAACTCAATTAAATTATTTCATTACCCTTTATTTTTTTTTTAAATCCTGCCCTTATAGTTTACTGTTATTTTAGTTATTTACATTTGGTTATTTTGTTATACTTGAATTTCATTAGGGGCAATATTGTTATTTGCTAAATAAAAAAAATTGAAGGCAAGTGGACACAAGCCACAACTTTCGAACGATATACAGGCACCGTCCAGTAGTCAAATGCATGCTTCTGAGACGGCGATCAAAGCATCTTGGCAACCCCTCCACGACTAGGTGGCGTATGTGTTTTAATTGTTTGTAGCTTGGCATGTGTGACATTTTATTTTATTTTTATTTGTATGCTGGTTTTTTACAATATTTTTTTTAAGATTTAATTTTTTTAACTGTTATTTATTTTATTTTAAATAATTTATAAAATTAAATATTTTTTTCAATTTGATCCTGATGGATTTTTTTATTTGTTAAATTTTATCTTTGTTTTTTTATTTGTTGTTGGTTTTTATTGAAGATGGTTTTTAAATTTATCTTTATATATATATATATATATATATATATAATTTCATTCTTTTTGAGTTTTTTCCCATTCAAAATATAATTCTCTTTTTATTATTGTTATTTCTTTTTACATTGAAATTTTTTTTATGATTTCATCCTTGAACATCTAATTAATTAAGTATTTAGCTTTTTAATTGAGCTTTTATCTAGATTTTAATAGATTGTAAGTTTAAAAGATTAACGGAAGTTCACTTATTATTATTTTTTTGTTATTTTTAATTTTTTTTCATCCTCCAACATTTTTTTTTATAAGATTTTTTGGTCGTTTTGTTTTGAAAATAACACTAGTTGCCTTGATTTTTTTTTTTCTAGTCTTTATTAACTTTAGCCTTTCTAAAAGAAATTTTATTTTTTATTAAATAAAATTAATTTATTTCATCATTCGACATTAAATTGGTTAAAAGTTAAGTCTTCTTGGATCAACCCAGGTCTGGAATTTAATAAATTACAGGTTTGAAAAATTAACTTGGATTTAAGAGGCTAACCTAATTTTTTTTTAGCTCTTTTGTTTTGTTTCATTTTCCCATATTGTTTTACTTCTTCTTCTTTATGTTTTCTATAATATTTTTTTTTTAAAATAACACGGGTTATCTTGAGTTTTTTTTCTTTGTTGAATTTAAATTTTTTAAAAGAAATTTTATTCTTGAATCAGATCAAATTAATTAATTAAATATAAATATAAAATACTCGTTTCATGGTATTTTATTTTTAAATTAATTAATTTTTTTATTTGATATTAAACTAGTCAGGTGTTGAGTTATCTTAAATGAGTTTAGGTCTACAATTTAATATATTGCGAGTTTAAGAGATTAACTAGGGTTTATAAGGTATACATAGGTTTTTTTTTCTTCATCATTCAACATTGTTTTGCTTCATTTTTTTTAAATTTTTTATAAAATTTTTTAGTTACTTTAAAAATAAAACGGATTATCTTGATTTTTTTAACTTTTTCTGAATTTAAATTTTTTAAAAGAATTTTTTAAAATTAAATTAAATTAAATGATTAAATATAAATATAAAATATTTATTTTATGGTATTTTATTTTATTTGTTTTATGGGCTATAACTCTCACAGTGCATGAAATTCTTTCAATTACCTAAATCTTAATTTTTTTTACTTCTCTGAAAAAAACTAATGTCACAGTATTTTTATTTTTTTTTATATTGAAAAAAGATTAATCCTATTGGCGCATGACTTGTAGCTGGTTTTGACCATGCTTAAAAGTGGAGATATCTTGGGTGAAGATGTTGACGCCCTATGATTCATTTCTTATTATCAGAAGGTGTACTATACAGTATATACTACGTACTAGCATGAGCTATATTTCCCTTTGATATTTTAAAGCAGATTCCCTACCAACCTAAGCATAATACATGCTAGGTCACATGTCTTTATTTGTACCCCCACATTAATTATTAACAATATCCTAAAAGTCAAGGGGAAAGTAAGGTCGCATTCCCCACGTTACATGTCTTTTAATTTTTAATTTTTTTGTTTAGTATTTTTTTCATTATATTTTTTCCCTTTTTAGGATTTGTATTTTTTTCTTCTTTTTTCTTTCCAAGATTGTCTTTTTTTTTAAAAAAAATTATTTTTATTAATTTTTTATATTAAATTGGTTGAAAATTTTATTCTGTAATTTTTTAAAAATATTATTTATTACTACAATGTTTCCTTACACAGTTTTTTATGAATTTTTTTTTCTAAAATGATTTTTTTAATTTTTCTTTGTAATTTTTTTAAAATTATGAATTTTTATAATTTTATTTACATGGTTTTTGTTTTGCTACAGTGTTTCCTCATAAGTTTTTTTCTTCAAAATTATTTTTTTTGTTTTTTTAATATTGAACTGGTTGAAAATTTAGCTTTAATTTTCTCCACGTGTTTTTTTTTCTAATTTTTTTTCATTTTTTTTCAAAATTTTCTTCTTCTTCTTTTAATTTTTTATATTTTTTTATATTATTTTTGTTGACTTTATTTTTTTAATATGGAGGTGGTTGAGAATTTAACTTTGTAGTTTCTTTTTAAAACACTATGGATTGCTATACATGATTTTTTTTTGTTATGATTTGTTTTTTTTAAATTATCTTTGTCATTTTTTTTTTCATATTGAGTAAATTGGGAATTTAACTTCTTATTTTTTTCTTTAAAACACTATAGATTGCTACAATGTTTTCTCATATATTTTTTTTATTATGATTTTTTTCAAATTATCTTTATTGATTTTATTATTTTTAATATTAAGTTGGTTAAAAATTACAACTGTAGATTTCCTCATGAAAGACAATATATTGCTACATTATTTCTCTATATTGTTTTGTTTTCTTTTTTTTGTTATGGTTTTTTCTAAAATTTTCTTTGTTCATTTTATTTTTTAAATATTAATCTGGTTAAGAATTATCTTTGTAGTTTTTTTCTTTAAAAACATTATAGATTGCAACAGTTTTTCTCCATATAATTTTTTTCCCTATAAATCCACAACAATGTATAAATATGCCACAAACCTACAATATCGCATGGGCATAATATATAATAAACTATATTTTTTGTTGATGTTTTAGAGCAGAATATTCCCTAAATGGTAGCTCACATATCTATGTGTAACCACATTAATTATTTATAGTAGTCATGAAAATGATATTGAAACAAATTTTATTTTAAAAAGGGACATTTACATATGTTACCAAAATTATTTACAACCAATTGCATAAGAAAAAAAATGATGAAATAAAGCAAAAATGGTGAATATATGAATTATGAAAATGAGAGAAGAAAAAACCCTATTCTTTTAAAAGAAACCAGGATTGGTGATTGTATTTGGACACAATTGTGACTAAATGATGGATTATATATCAAAAAATCCAAATAGTCTAGGACAAGATTTATATATTAGATAATTAAATAATCTTTTAATTCTAGTAATCTAATTATTTTTTCCTAACTAAAATGATTTTTGTCCGGTGTTTGATAAGCCAAGATGGTAGGTGGTAGATAATTGTAAAAAGTCATCTTTGATGAATTTAAAAACTCTTTAATGGGTAAGTAAGTATTTATTTTTAGAAAAAAAAATGATATTTTTTTTATACAAACTATAAAAATAAATACGCCATCGGTAATGAATATTTAGAACCTTTTTCTTTTGAAGAATCCATAGTATATTAAACAAGAATTATTTTTTAGGCAAATATAACTTGTATAAAACTAGATACAGAATATATACCATTCAATTAGTATAACATATTTAAATTTATATAATGCTTTTTATTGTTAGTAGGATAAGTACTTGGATAATGACATTATGATGTAAAAATTTAATTTATTTAATTGTGTTTAAGATAATAATTTAATAACAAGAAACCTTACATATGAAGTAGCTTTTACCCATGAAGTTAAATCACCTTCAAGGGGAAAGAAAAAAACCTACTGCGAATGTAAAACATGCGAGATGACAGCAAAAAAAACGTTCCACCGTATAATTGATGAACACCTGGCAATACCTTTAGCCCGTGCCCTTGGCCCTCCCCCGATTGGGCGACGTCCTCATTTGCCTCTGCTGACTGACATCATATATTCTCTAATCATCACCTAACTACTCCCTAATCACCCAAAAATTAAAAAAAGAAAAGAACAAGAAAACTCATTTGACGCCTTGCTGAAACCTAAGTTTATTTTATAATCAAGGACTTCGAGAGTCTAAGGTCAATTAGGGCGAGGTTGTTCCCATGTGCGAACTGTTATTTTTTGTTTCCATACATTAATCTGATGAAATGAGAATTAAATAATGTTCTTCTGGTGTTGTAATTAGTGTAAACAGCTCTAGGCAATGCCTTCTTATTATTCTTATAAGAGGCTCATCTGCTCCCATGTTTTTGTTCCTATGCTAGCTATGCATATACAGAAGAGTGGATGATCGAACATTTGGTAAATAAAAACAAATTATGTGGAAATATTTTTATTGAATTGACTTGCACATGGGCCACCTGTAATAGAGAGAGAGAGAGGGAGAGAGAGAAGTTTTTTTGGAACGTATTAAAATATTGACACCGACAATCAATTAAAGATGCTCTTAATTAATTAGTTAATTAATTTTTACATTAGTGAAATTAATTATGAGAGTAATGGAGAGGGGAGCACTACTCCTATATGGCTATATATAACACGCACAAGAGGCACAAGTCACAGAGAATGCATGGAAGTGTGAGAGAGGCTGCCATTTTCAGCAAAAGCAGTGTATATTGCGTCCAGGATCCGAGGAAGCTCTGCTGTTTGATCCCCTTTTGTAAAATATTATTGCTGTTTTTCACAGGCCAGGTGCTTGGTTTCTCTGTGTTTTTTTTTTCCCTTTCATTATTTTTATTCAGCATATAATTTCTTTTTATTTCAATAAAGCTAGTTTTTAAATTACTGCATGATGTAAGTTGTCTAATTAGTTAACCTCATTGACTAAATATAAGTTGTCTAATAAGACTCATTAATTAAATAAATTAGCATGAGCAACCTGACCCTACCCTCGTGTGAATATCGGGTTTAATGATTAATTAAAAGGTATCCTCCTTTCTTTGTTAATTATTGAGTTTAAAGTTGGTTTAGTTTGCGAGTGAATTAAGAATTAAGAAGAAAATTTTTTTTTATGTCATATCAAAAATATTTTTTTAAAAAAACATTTCTTAGATTTTTATTATATAATAAATTAAGCAAAAATTATAGCAGATAAGTTTTTTTAGTGGACTTTCTAATACTATTTTATAAATATTTATATTACATAAAAGAAGACTCTTGACACTTGAAGTTTAATTTGTAGTGAGATTAGTTCTTTAATGAGTTATTTTTTTTAATTTTTATAATTAATTTTGATATTTTTAAATATTAAGATAAAACTAAATAACAACTATTCAATTTAATTCAAAATATAATTGTCTTATTAATAATTATATAATTTCATTAAGATATTTAATTTTATATAAACTTATCATTATATAAAGAGATACATAAAAGAAAGTTTTTCTTTTTCTTTTTATTCTTTTAAATTCTTAAATAAAAATAAATAAATATTTTAAAAACAATATTTTTATCATGAATAACATAAATAGAAGTAGTTCAATAGTATGAATTAATTTCCATCGTTAACAAAAATAAAATCTTTAAGGATCTTTTACACTTTCTATTTTATCCTAATTAAATTTTGGTGAACTAATCCATTATCTTGTCAGATAAATCACTTAGTTTCATCGGAAACTAACAGCAAATATTAGCATTGTGTGTTCTGTTTCATAAACAAAAAGAATTCAAACTTGTAGAAATAAGTAATATTTTTATGAAATAGATTCTGGTGGTAGTAAGAAACTGTTGTTTATTTATGCTACTGAACAGCAAAAATTGATAGATGGGAGAGATTCGTTCACCATACTTTTCTATTGATCAAGAACACCTCAAAGATAATGCTGAAATTCGTTCACCATATTTTTCAAGTGGTGGAGACTACCTTGGAGTTAATGCTGAAATTCGTTCACCGTATTTTTCATTTGATACTCAAGATTACCATGGAGATAATGCCGGAATTCATTCCTCGTATTTTTCAGCTGCAGACTACCACGGAGAAGATGCTGAAATTCCTTCTGGAACATTCTTTCACCAAGATAATATTGTTGAGAATCCATACAATGCAGAAAATTTTGTTGAGCAGGATATTGTTCAGAACATATACAACACAGAAAAGCTCATTCAACGGGTAAAAGCTGAAGAACTGTACTTGGATCTTGAAGCTGAAGCTGTACATAAAATCGAGAAAAATCAAAATGATGGGAATTTTATCTACAGAGTTCCTGATGCGCTTCGCAAATCAAATGAAGCCATCTATACTCCTCAAGAAGTTTCTATAGGCCCTATTCACCATGGCAAGGAGATTTCGCAGGGCATGAAAACGCAAAAGGTAAGATACTTGCAAGCATTCTGTAACAGGGTGGTAGGGAAAGAAAAGGAGCAACAAATGAAGTTCCTGGAGAAAATTTGGTACACCATTAAAGAGGATGAACAGAAGATCCGCCGATGTTATGAAGATGGTGCTAATGAATATGCAGAAAATGATCAGTTTGTGAAAATAGTGTTGTTCGATGCTGTTTTCATCTTGGAGTACTTGTTGAGGAGTAAAGATATAGAAAAATATAGAGATGATTCCATATTGTGTAGAGTCGGGTCAAGGATTCGGATTCGACGAGACTTCTTGTTGCTCGAGAATCAGTTGCCATTCTTCATTCTTGAGAAATTATATGACCATCTTCTTGAAGACGGCGAGGGAAATTATACTTCTTTTCGAGATCTTGCCTACGAGTACTTGAATAGGTACAATATTGAGAGTACAGACAAGACAAGCGACAACAAGCAGATATTACATTTCACCGATTTGGTCAGATCTTCATTATCCGTCAAACACCCAGAAATGAAGACTGACGACCCGATTGGAAAATTTTATAGCGCAACCAAGCTGCATGAGGCAGCGATTAATTTTAAGGAATTACGAAATGAATGCTTACTTGACGTAAGATTTTCTTCCACAAAAGGCGAGTTACGTATACCACGTCTTCGGATAGACATCAATGTTAGTTTGGTTGCTATTAACATGCAACAACCATTGACTATTGTACCAATCATGTACACTCATCCAAGATGTTAAAGGTTGGCAGCCACCATTATTGAAGAAGAGCTGGAGTTGGCAGCCACCTTTATTGAAGAAAAGTCTCCATAAATACCTATAAATAGAGGCATATGTAAGAGAGCAAAATGAGTGAAGAGAATTATGAAAATATGAAGATAGTAGAGAGAAAGAGAGAGCTGCAATGGCAGCAGCCTTGTTGTCATTGCAGCAGCTGCAAGTGCAGTAAAGAGAGTTGAGAGTTGAGTATGAAAGGGTGTAATCCTCCTCCTTCGTGTATATGTTTTTATTCTTTCTCTATCTCTAAATGTATTGACTTCTCCCGTGGATGTAGGTGGTTTTGCCGAACCACGTTAAATATTGTGTCAGTGTGCTTGGCCCTCCTATGAACAAGTATCAGATCATCACCGGTCGGAATTTCCATCAATTGGTATCAGAGCTTTCGGTTTAAAGTGATGTTTCATTTTGCTTAAAAATAAAAGTTGTCAAAATTGTGTTTTGACCATACCATTGTGTAGAGAAGGAAGAGACGAAGCCACTGGTAAAAACCGCGTCGAAATCGAATGTCGGAAACCGTCGCACGCGTCGGTGGGGTGATTGTCCACGTCATTAGCCACGTCAGTAGTTCTGCACAGTCATCAGCCACGTCACCTGACTCATCAGCACTCTGACTAGTCAAACTACCACAATCATCAGCACTCTGACTAGTCAAACTGCCATATCAGCCGTTCTGCACAGTCAGCTCTGCCACGTCACCAAAAAGCCACTTGGGACTGCCACATCAAATTTGGTGACCCTATATATCCTACATGCCTGACACATCATCACAGCCACGTCAGCTCACTGGTTTTGATCCAGTGTGGTGCAGCGACTATTCTTCCTGCCACGTGGCGTCATCTGCAGCGTCCAGTGATCCTAAAGTTTGATTGTTTAAATCTAAGCCATCCGAAGTCCGATTCGGGTGATCTCAGTATCATTTCTAGCATTTTTTTATCATTCTGGACACATCTGTAAGGTTAGAGTTTGCAGATTCGAAGCCGATCCAAGCTGAGTTAGAGCCGAGTCGAGCTGCGAGCCGAGGGACAGGATTCTGTGTGGCGGAGTCTACGTGCAACCGGTTCTGAGATTCAATCTAGGCCGCTTATCAGGCCAAAATTATTTTGATCAAATCTTAGCCGTCTGAAGTGCGATTTGGACGATTTCAGACTTGTTTCCAGCTAATTTGATCGTTCCGGATGCAATGGTA